CGACAGGCGAGGTTCCTTTGGCCGCCAGGTGGCTGCTGCCACCGCACGCGACGCGGTGTTGAACCGCGCCGGGAGGCGGGCCAAAGGAGCCATACCCGCGGCACCGGCTGCGCCCAACTGGCCACCGCGTCGGACGCGGTTGGCGTCATCGTTGGGGCCTCCATCATCGCTCGAGCCACGGCGGAAGGGCACCTCATACCTGCCGGGCTTGCTGACGTCTACGCTCGCGGGGGAGGCAAGGGAAGACAGCATTGTGGTGACGCCTGTGATGGGTTAGCAGTACATAAGGGCAAGATGATGCATCTGATAAAAGCTTACTTGGTGCTGTCGAGGAGGAAGAGTTCTGGTGGTGGTTGTTGTTGATGTCTATTGATAGAGGTGTTAGACAGTTGAGACGAGACGAACAGGTGAGTTGTCAGATGAGGTTTTAAGAGGCAAGAAACAGCATGACTGCGAACAGGAAAAGACGAGCAATCAACGCATACTCAAGCAAACTAGCTGTCGACATAATGGATGGGACAAGATGTGACCTCACCCAACAGACATGGGAAGTGAGAGAAGGAATAATGAGTTGTAAAAGATGCATATGCAACTGCAAGACATCAAGAACGTCCCGGGGAAGGGCATCCGAAAAGGAAACAAAGAAACCAAGACAATACTAGCAGCAAGCCAGCCAAACAGTAGAACGCTGAAGTCATACCAGCAATCGCTCCAGGCACGAAACATGATCGTGACGGACACGCCAGCTTCGCGTCCGGCCTACCAGCTCTCCGAGCCGGGCACGACCAAAATGAGCTATTACTCTGTGTATAACCAGATGCCTTTGCAAGATGCCAGCAAGCCAGATGAGGTCATACAAAGAGCTCATTGACCAGCTATCTCTGTGAAAGAGATGCGATCGCAGTAAACACTCAAGTGATCATTCTTGATGTGAAGCTATTCCCATCAAGCCTCACAACTGCGAATACATCCAATTGCGACCGCCATTGTCGTCGTCGCAGCTAAAACAGCAAGAAAAAAACAGACACAACGAGAAGAAAAAGAAAACCACTTACCAGAAAAAGGAGCCAGAAAGTTCAACGGCTTGCCCAAGCTTTCGTAGCCGTTGTTGTTGTTGCTGCTCGCTGCTGTCGTCTCTTCGACCTGAGAAAGAAAAGAAGAAGAGGAAGAAAAGGAAGAAGACCCTCGAGATCCAGAATAAGTAGAAGAAGAAGCGGGTCCGTTTTCCCTTGCTATTGTTGTCGTCGTCGTCTCCGCGGCGGGTCCGGTTATGCGGGTCTTATAAGTGAAAGACGGGGATGTAGGAGTAGAGTCGGGAAGGGGCCGCTGACGAAGAACGAATGGGTGAGTGACGCCGAGGGAGGAGGACTCGGAGAGGTTGGGGGAGCCGGTTTTTGTTATGAGCTGATTATCACTAGAAGGTTCTGATGCTTTGGTCAAGTTCTTAGTCATTGGATATTGTTAATGGATAAGGCTGATATATGGATATTAGGAAAATGGCTTCAGTCACCCATGATTCTCCTAGAAGCAGACATTTTATCTCTGCCCACTTGGGAATTAAATCAGGTAGGAAGGTACAGGATGGAGATGATTGTAAACGGCAGAGGATTTAATATGAGGGTCATTACCATCTCCAACTTGGAGAAGCACAGAACAACACTGACAGTCAGGTCATACAAATCTCAGACCCATGTCGGGGCCATCTGTGGGCGAACCACGCAAGGCAACCGCCCCCCTCAATGTGCGCGATAGTACAACAACAAGGATACAACTTACCAGGCAGGGTATCAGAATCACACGACCGATCTCCCTCAGAACCCGTGACAGAGATAATGGTACCCTCTTCAACCTCCTTATTGCACCCCTTATTACCCTTCACCGGCGAAAGCAAACACGAAGACCCTTGCGAAGAAGCAAGATCGACAATTGAAGACGACAACGACGGGGTCGAGTTCGACGACTGGGATAAAGCAGGCGATGGCGGTGGGTTTGGTTGATCAATCGAAAAAGTTGAAGACTCTATAGCCTTGGTGCTTTTGGCAATATCTGAGTCACCATCGATGTCTGCCATGTTGATTGTCAAAAATAAACAAAGTAAGCGTCTATACACACTTATACCAACAACAAAATAACCTCAAAATATCGGCAGAGAGAACGTAAGAAAGAAAGAAGAGAAAAACTTACCTTTAACAGACCCGGGCTTCAACTGCAACTTAACCTCCAAAACCTTTGTACAAGCGTCACGCGACGATGATTTGATCCTGACGACACTATCTCCTTCTTTTTCCTTCAGATGAAGAGTTGAATCCTCTCCAAGTTTTTCAACAACCGGCTTGTACTCTCGTTCCCACGATTCAGATTCAGAACAATCCTCTTCGCCAGCATCAGAAGAAGAATTATTGTGAGTGTGAGTATGAGTGTCTCCTCCTCCTCCTCTTTCACCGTTTTCCCCAATTATACCTAAATCCCCCGTCGACTTTTTTCTCACCGCTGTTCTCAACTCTTTAAACAGCCGGTGACAATTCAATGTTGTTGTCGACGTCGACGAAGACGTTCCTATAGTAGTACTACCACCAGACGAAAGATTCATGAAAGGAGAAGAGGAGGAAGAAACAGAACCAAGAGAAGAACTACTACTGCCGAGGCGAACGACCCTGCGGCGGTCACTGTCATCCTTGTTGATATCCATGTTGTATGTGTGTATGTGTGTTTTGTGCGCGTTTCCGCTCCGGAATATAAAGCCGGTGCTTCCCTCTGCGTTGTTCAAAAAGAGATGGTTTTTTGTTAAATAAAGGTACAGATGAAAATATGGTTCCTGCAGCCGGTGGAGAAGAGGGGAAAAAACAGAAAACAAAATCAAGTGGCCAGAATAATTATTGCGGTGTAGAGATCGTCGCCGTGTGTGTTGTTGTTGTTGCTAATAAACTGATTGAGGGGCAAAAAATAAAAAAGTCCACTAAAAAAGTTGCAAACGGACAAAAAAAGAAAGGGTACGCACGTCCTCTTCCTTCAACGGGAACTTGCGTTAAATGTGTGTTTTACTTATACACACAACAACAGTCTTCTCCTCTCACCCCCTTGTACCTGTAAAAAGTCAAGAAAGGAGTGATGAGTGTGGCGAAATATGCTGGCGACAACAACAAATGAAGGGGGAATAAAGGAGAGGGAAAAACCCCTCGGCAAAAAAAAACCCTCTCACAGAAACCCTCCGTGGCTTTTGCGTGAAACGATACACCTATTTTTTTTTTCTGCCTTGTGTTCTCCTTTGACCAAAGTGGCGTCAAAATAAGGCTGTTGTGACCCAAAAAGTCTGAATTCAGATGGAACCTACAAGTAAGGCAGAAAAAGGATAGCTGCTGTTGTGCGCGTCTTGTCTGTGTTATGTGTTGTTGTACTGGTGTGGGATATCTGTGTTTCCATCAACAAATAACCCGCCTCCTTATTTATCCACTCAAATATCTTAGAATACTTCCTATCACAAGATAGGCTATGTAAAGAAGAAGGCGACAAGAAGTACAAGATGTAACCTGCAAGAAATCTGAAAGAGTGCGGCCCATTTCCCTTCCCCCCCCTTTTGTACACCCTCATCATCACCCATCATTAGAGTCATCGTGAATCATCAATGTCCAAACAAAACAATAAGCGCAAAAGGAAAAAAGAAAAGAAAACACACACACAAAAACCATCCTAATCCCTGTTTTAAATAAGGTTGCTTGCATACAACTCACCCTTCATCACCAAAAAAGCTGTTCGGCTACCCGCATATCGCGGTTTGTACACTATTTCCCCATAAGCCACACCACCGTGACCACTACCCAGCCCCATAACACCGCGGGACAAACAGAAACCAGCGGTGGGCGAGGGTTGTCACATCCGACGGATGTCTAGGCAGGAAGAAGCCAGGGCGGTGGGTGGGCTGTGTGAAGTCTTGAAAAAAAAAGTATTCCCCGGAAGCTGACTTTTTTTTTTTCTTTGTATTGACCAGAAATGTATCACTGTATACCAAAAACAAGGCAACCGGTTTAATAGAAGTTGACTTTGTACATCGTGATCGATCTAGACTTTGATCTTCAAACAACATCACCTGCAAAGGAAAAGTTTTAACTCATCCATCTGATTGTACTTCCCCAACTGCTACTCCAGAATTTCATCTGCCGACCAAACCCGCTGCCAGTCATATTCAAGCACCTAACTTTATCCATCAAGTCATGAACCCTGAATCAGTTCAAACAGGCAGGTAAATCATCACTTACCATGCATCTCAATCCAACCCTGTCCCGTATAACGACAATCATGACCAATCTACACAGCCCCAGAACGTAAAACAGATGATCATAACGCACAACTGACACAAAGCAACTGTTTACACAGACAGACAAATACACATACACATACACAATACACAATACACACACATAGCCCAAACCACAAGTCCACCCACCCCAGTCCCTCACATAACCTACCTCGACTTCCGCTACAACAATAATACCGAGTGAAACCGCATGACTAGACAGATAGATACCTTCAACGAAAGGTTCACAAAAACCTGCTCTGACCATTCCCCCATTAAAGTAAAGAAAAAGGACAGAAAACTAAAAACACCTTCGTTTACCAGCAACAACAACCATCACCAGCAAAACCCCCCAAGATACATAAAATAACTAAAACACTCACCACCCCTCAAAGTAATTGTAATCAATATTTACCCAATACATATTTATTAAGTCATCAAGTAAAAATATCCAAATAAATCAACTCAATAAATCACCACTTTCACTCACTCACTCTATCAACTGCTCCTCCCCATTCATCATTAATCCGTTTGCTTTTCCATCACCACTATCAACCAAAACCCAGAAACCAAAAACCAAAAAAAAAAAAAAAAAAACGCCACCTTACATCATCATCATCATCAAAAACCCACACACAAACCAGCCACTTAAAGCCCCCCCCCCCCTTTAAACATCAGCAAAATAGCACCATGTCTCAGAACATCTACAGTCCCCGTAGCACAGTGGTTAGCACCTAAAAAGATCTTTCAGCGTTTTGATTTAATCTGAACTACCTAAAAGACACCAGGAGACGTCGGTTCGAATCCGACCGGGGACACAATTCTTTTTTCTCTTGTCTTTTTTCTCTTTTCAAAACCCCTCACATCACATTGGCTCATTCAACCATCACCGCCATCACAAAACATCATCATCCACTTACATATACCATCACTAATGTCACGGCCTGGCGTAAGAAAACTTGGGATTTCTTAGTATTTATCTAAACAGCAATATTATTTAATCTTAGGGTTTTAAAATTATTAATAAAATAGCTATTTTAATAGGTATCAGGAAAAATATCAAATTAATGGTCTGATTTTAAATCAATATTCCGGATTAGTTATGCCAGCGGTTAGTCTAAGGCCGATTTAGGAGGCCAGATAAGTACCACAAACCTAATACTCTAAGCCCCCTTTGATCACAATCACAACTGCCACAATTACATCCCTCGAAACTCAACAACACAACACACAAAACACTGCCCACAAAGAGGGAAATCTAACCAGTCATCATCAACCCTCTCTCTACTCCTCCCACTCGTCACCACAAACAAATATATATAAAAAAAAATCTTTTTACAGCTAATCTACATAATTTGTCGAAATGAATATCGACAACAACACCAAAAACCTCCACTTCCTCAAGAATAACGAATCCCCTGTCCCCCCCAAGAATGTATGAATGAATAATTCAATATACATAATATCCCACATAAAACAAATTGATGATGATGATAAAAAGAGCCATGCAACAAAACCTCCCCCAAACACATTGCTCCTTCTCTGCTCATCCACCAACCAACCCTTTTAAAAAAAACTCCCCAAAACTCCAATCTTTTCTTTTCTCGCAATGCATCGTTCCTCACGCCATGCCATGCCATGCCATGCAACTCCGTCCCACAAAAACTCAAAATATTATCAAGAGGGAAAAAAAAAGATCTCACTAAGCCCCTCCCAAACTCCTCAACTTCCCCAAATACCTCTGCGTCAACCTCGACTTGACCTCAACCGATATACCCGGTCCACTCCTCCGCAACGTATCCAGCGCGATTCTCAGCTTCGGCATACTGCTCATCTCCGGACACTCCCAAAATGAAGGATGAGAGAAACTACAGCAAAAGCAAAACTCCGGTTGTTGTGTTTGCAGAGCCGAAGCCGGAGGAGGTGGTGGAGGCGGGGGCAGTGGTACCGGTGTCTGCTGCTGCATAGGTCTCATAGTCATTACTGGTTGCTGCTGCCCGGCTCCGCGCTCGGACTGCTGCTGAAGTTTTGATAAATGAACTGCTGTTGTGCCATTAGATAAGTTGGGTCTAGGTTGGGCAATTCCTGCTGCTGTTCCGTTATGGCTGAGATTCCCTGTTGGGGTGGTAGTCCGAGAACGCCAAACGTTGTATTGACCATGTGGTGCCTCTGGCTGTCGGCTCGCTGCCTTTTGTGAGGTGGTCTGGCCATTTTGCTGGGCGTGTTTTGTATTTGTCTTGCTCGCTGCCGCTGCTGTTGAGGACCCATCGCCACTTTTGATTGAGACTTCGAGCCCGAATTTCCGCTGCTGCGACTTGAAGTCTTGTTGGGTCGGGGGTTCTCGGTTCGCTTTGGGGTTCGGGTCGACGTCGGTGTTCTGTTGCCCTTGGTTGGAGTCTGTTTGTGTGAGTTTACTGTCGATTTTTGGTTGCCCTGACTTAAAGGAGACTTCTTCCCAGCCTTGCTGGAAGTGACCGGCACAGTAGTAGATTGGGGAACGGCAGCACTCTTCCGTTTTACAGCCTGTTTTCGCGGATTAGATGGGTAAAAGTCCATACCTGGTGTACCTGGTTCTTCGTCACTGGATTCGTGGTCACTCTTATCACTCCCCACGAAATCCGCATCAAAGTTTCCATCACTGTCACCTGCTTGTCCTCCCTCCTGCCCCTCTTCCACCTCTAATTTGTAGTTCGCAGCCTGTAAAAAAGTTATGAATTAGTACACAGAAAATGCAGCCGTTGAAAATGAATGTGCCACTTACTCCTCGTCTGCGTCCACCGCGCCCTAGGGTTTCTGCCTGTTTCTCGGCCTCGAGGCGGGCTTCTTCCTCACGCTGCTGGAGGATCTGATCCCATAGGCCAAGGTTCAAGGTCTTGTCCGTCGTTTCTAAGTCATCAGTAAGCCCGCGCTCGTCGTTGGCCCACACACGTGCCATTGCAAACGCTGATTCCGCCGACTTGTCATCGTTGGTTTTGGTTTCCTCTTCCATAGAGCGGTCCAGAAGTTTATCAACGGCAACAGAGTCGTATTTGATGGCATCCCTCTTTTCACCCTCTCCGAAGAGTGCTGCGGCACCGTGCTTTAAAACCGACTCAACATCATTCGGGGCATCGTCCTCGTTGTCCATGGTCTCAATAAGCAAGTGATCGAGAGCCAACTTCTTGCGGCCGATTTGCAGGATCTTTTCCTCTGCGGAATCCACAGTCATGATCTGAAAGCAAAGAACTTTCTTGGTCTGACCGATACGGTGGGCACGAGACAGAGCCTGAATGTCCTGATGAGGATTCCAGTCTGGATCGAGAATAATGACGGTATCCGCAGTCGCCAGATTGATTCCTACACCACCAGCGCGGGTGGAGAGTAGCATACAGAAAAGGTTGGAATCAGGAGCGTTGAACGCATCGATTTTCTTCTGCTTCTCCATGCTAGACTGCTTGCCGTCAAGACGTTCATGCCGGAGGTTGAGGCTCGTAAGGAAATCCTCCAGGATTGTGAGTTGATCCAGAAACTGACTAAAAATCAGCACGCGGTGGCCCCTTTCCTTCAGCTTTGGCAGCATAAGTTCCAGGAGCATGAGCTTTGAGGAGGCTTCAATGAGGTTGCGTCGGGTAAGCTCAGGATCCAAGTTCCTGTCCTCGATGGCTTGGCTGTAGATGAAGGGATGACACAAGCACTTCCGCAATTGCATGAGAATATTGCTCAATGAACCTCTGTCGTTTGACTTTAGCTTGTCAGACGAAAAGATTGAGCGTAGGAGCTGAGGGCTGCGCTGCATGATCGACTTGCAAAGCTTCTCTTGCAATACAGACATGGACACAGGGACGATGATTTGCGCCATCTGTGGGAGGAAGTGTAACACGCCAGCTTTTGTGCGGCGCAGAAAGTACGGACGGATGATTTCATGCAACTGGGGCAGGTTTTCCGTCGTGATGTTGGCAAACCGCTCGTCAAGCTCATCGGCTCTCTTCTCTGGATCAATGAATTGTAACAAGTTGAATAATTCACGCTTGTTATTTTGGAGCGGGGTACCGGTGAGCAACAGCTTGAAGGGGATGTTGAGTATTTGAAGGGCCTTATAAAGGCCGTTCTCGTCGTTCTTCAAGGCCTGGGCCTCATCAACAATGAGTCCAGCCCACTTGACTCCGCTGAATCTGGACTTTGTGTCCGTATCCTTGGCTGAATCGTAGGACATGATGACGACGTGCGCCTTCATGTCCTTTGACTTCTTGGGGAATAGCTCGTAGTTGATGGCGAGAGTCTGAGAAACTCTGCCGCCGTAGTACGCAACGACGCGGAGGTCTGGCGCCCACTTCTTGATCTCGCGACGCCAATTGGCGCATGTTGCATTTGGCACAACAATCAAGAACGGCCAAATGCGAGGATTATCTTGGATCATGCTAGAGAGGAGTGCAACAACTTGGACCGTCTTGCCTAAACCCATTTCATCAGCAAGAATGACACTGCGGTCGTGCCGAAAATTGTTCAGCATCCAGTCGACGCCATCGATCTGGTACTCCATCAGTTTGCCTCGCTGGAGACCCTGCGGCTGGCCCTTGAGCTTAATCTCGGTGGTAAAATCAAGCTTGCGGAATGCTTCAACTCGCTCCCTCATAACTTTCGGCGGCTCGTACTTAAAGTGCACGCCATTGAGATACTCGCGATATGCCTCGTAATACGCATCCCATGCTGGCGACCCTGCGTCGGGCGGGGTGTCCCAGACAACATCATCATAGCCCAATCCCTCAAACTTCACGAGAATTCTAACCACGTGATAGATTCTAGCCATGTCGTCATCAAATTTGTCTTGACGAGATTTTGCTTTGTACTGGCGGGAGTTCTCTGGAGCCGCCGCGTACTGCACGTCGAGGATGATATCGGGCGTTATCCAGGCGCTGTAAATGGCGTCCCTTTCATCCCAGCGGAGAAGTGAATCAGATTTGATTTCACTGTCGGGTTCATTCTGGAGTCCTTCGCCGAGTGTCCGCTTCAGAAAGGCGCCGCGCATGGCGTGCTTGACAATACCATAAACCCAAGGTCCAGGGAGCCACTGACAATGATTGTAAGACTTGTCTTGCCACTTTACGAGGTACTCGAGCTGATCCTCGGCAAAGTCGGAAAGCACTTGACCTTCACGATAACTCTTCCGGCTTGCCGGCCGCCAGGCGACCAGCTTATCCGGCTTGTTATCTTGATTGTCCCGACATTCCTTGCATACCCACTCGACCTGGTACTCCTGCAAGCGGTGCTTGCGAAGATTCCCCGGGTCATTAAGCACCGGGTCCCTACCGGCGCTGGGATGCGGGAGATGCTCATAGTGCCAGCCTCGGTGGCACTTGGCGCACCGGAACAACACATTGTCTGGGTTGTTCAGGAGCTCGGGATCAACCACAACGACAGGGTCGACGCCGCCATTTTCGATACGAAGCTTCTCCTCTTGCTTTGGTGTCATTTTCTCGGCGAACGGCTTGCACGAGCGATTCGTGGAGTGACAAACTTGACAGGTGTCATGGCTGGGGGCCCTCGCGTCGCGCTTTTTGTAATGGCCAACACAGAACCGACATTGCATGACAAAAGAATTGTGACCAACCTTGGTCACGTACTGGTCACGATTACTTCTGTTTCCAAGACAGATCTTGTGATACATGATTGAGCATCCCTGACAAGGAATCAAACTTCCTTTGTTCCGATCGTCTTCATACCCACAGCTGTCACAACAGTGACGATGGGCTTCAAGAAACTCGTCCGAGTTGGAAGGCTGGAAAACTTCTTTGACGCTGGCAACCTTGGGGACGGTCGGCTTTGCCTCGACGTAGGCAAA